ATAAAATCCACAAAGTTTAAAAATTTCATGCACTTGAAAAATATCACTGTGATACCTATTATTACTACTACGTACGATGGGAGCTTCCATCTTTAATCTGAAGACACTTAAACGTACGCGCCATCTCGTGGCAACTTTCATAACGATCCCAACGAACATTCTTTTGAGAAGGTTCCTGATACCATCCCTGTGCATTCCACTGTTTCGGGGTGTATGTGAACACTCTAAGAAGAAGGATGTTTCAAAATTGATATCATTCTTACCAACTAGAACAGCTATACTTACTGGTCTGACTCACTGCATGTTTTTATTAAAAATTTTAATAAGTTAAAAATGGTTTGACATGGCTAACTATAGAATACCTCTATTATCGCTGACACACTCGGTCCAGTTAGTCAATGTTTACCTCTCAGGCAGTATTCGATTACATCACTGCCACAACAAATCTACCAGCAACAAGCCATTTGTCTCTTTAGAAAAAGCGTTTGTAGTGATCGATAATCATAAGTAGTTACCTGTTTACTCGCCGATGAAACTTGTCCACACAGTCAAATTTGGTGTCGCTACGAACGTGAGTTGTGATACGCATACTTATTGGCCAAAGCACCCATATTACACGGCATTGCTGACCAATGAGAAGTCGCGAAACAACACTAGCTATGGACGCAATGCAGGCCGATCGACAGCCGTAAGAAATTCAATTCGCGGTCAGAAAAATATAAATAAAGTGCGTTTTTCGTCATTCATTTCGTCATATTTTTCTTGGTTGTCCACCGGACAATGTCTCAGACTGGTTAGGTTGTAACTTGTTCGGCGCAAATTTTGTTTATCTCGGACAACCGGACAACGCTTATTTCGAGCACTGGGGTTAGGGTTAGGGTTCTAGCTCATCTAAACTCTCAAATCGTGAATTTATTTACCAAGGCGTTATTTCGAAATCTGGCGCCACCCGCCGCCATCTTTGTCTCGTTAAGTATGAAAGCGAATGGACTGCTGTACCTCCAGCCTCGAGACATGAAGATACGGCTGCCGTACCCGTAGCCACAGCCTTTTTGTTTTACTTGTCCAAAATTTACTTGCAATCTAGAGCTGTTAAGGTACTTTTTAGTTCAGTGCATATCATATATTACAGTATCTACATGGAAAATCGTAATGAAATTCACACAGTTTATTTTTAGTGCCGATTGCAGCTTTTCTCTCAATTCCAGTAAAGAGTTTTGCTGTCGCTGTCTCATACCAGTGGTTCCCAACTTCCCATCCCCCTACATATTCAGTAATGAACATGCCCCACGCGACTGAAACAATTGGTGCACTCCCCCCCTCCCCCCCGTACTTCAATGTCGCCCAAGCCAGAACTTGAGAAGGCACGTGCGCAGCCACGATGTGCACAGCCACAGACACGGGTGTCACGGGCTGCTTTTTTTTGTGGCGACTTTCGAAAATATAACGTGAAAAATGTCGTGCGATAGCGCCCTGGCTCAAAGGATATGTTAGGAATTTTACACAACTGGAATTTTTTTAGTTGTCCGATCGGGCAACTAGCCAAGAGAATAACTTGTCCGACGTACACTTTCACTTGTTCCGGGCAATCGGACAACCATTAGTGTCGAGGGCTGAATCTCACCACTGCACACATTGCATCCATCATAAAATGTTTGCCATTAATTATCAGCTTCTTAAATACCCTTTATCGTCTTTTATCTTGTAAAAATATCACGACATACACGAAATGTTCAAAACTCTTCACAATAGAAATTTATATAAACTTTTTTATGTGTTGTCTCTTGTGCTTGTGCTGTGTTCCCACCATCTAATGAAATCACCACTGCAACATTGCAATTCCTTTTCTAGCAAGGATTTTGGACCTTAAGTTTGATCGAATATAAGACCATCGTGATATTTTGAGAACATAAAGGGTAATCAAAAGAGTATTTAAGAACCTGATAATACATGGCAAGTGTTTTATGATGTAGGTCAGATGTTAATGAAGTGAGATGTGTTGATATTCAATGTTAAGAATTTCAATATTACAGGGTTGTTTTCACGATTATTGCTTTAAACCCTTCAAAAGTATTATCTAGGTAAAGGAAGAGATCTAAATGATGGGCATAATAATTGACCTTCTAGGTTCAACTTTAAAATGGTAATATATTGTAAATGAGTAATGTAACATATTAGTTTCAGGATGAATCGACTGGAAAATCATCGAAAAAGTGGAAAACCATGTTAAGAGAGAAAGTCAGAAAGAAGCCTGTGACACCAAAAAAATCGAGTCCAGCAAAAGTTGATTCAGTGGGCAGTGGACAAGTTCAACTCAGCTATAAAGTAATTTTTCTCATTAGTCATTTTGGTAAAAGCAGCATTGTTAAGCATAGGGTGTGATTCTGTTGGGTTGTCTGTCAGCACTCCAACTAAAAAATGTTGATGCCATGTTAGCTATGAACCAGCTTAAATTAGAAATTAATTAGTATTTGTCCCATAAAGTCAGTGATTTTGCTATATCTCCCCTATGGATCAACCTAGAGTTGCTTAATTAGTTTCTAGTCTATTATGTCTATGCCAGGAATATCAAATATGCTGCCCTGATTATTAGTTTGTTGGTGTGTATCCTAGATAGTGGTGGTAATTGGTAATATGGGTATTTTAGACATTTGTTTGAAAATATATCAGTGTCTGGTTCTTCAAAAAAAAAATATCTAGGTGAAATGTATAAACCTTAATGGTATGACCATCCCTAGTATGTCATCAAATGGTTTGTAATTTGTGTTACTATTTAGTTGGTCACTTCATGTTTCAGACTATCACTCCTGGTATGCTGATACTGGGATGTATCAAAGAGGTACATGACTTCGAGCTTATAGTGTCACTGCCAGGTGGCATTGCTGGAGTAGTTGACATTGGCAACATATCAGATGCTTATACACATCTTCTTCAAAACCTAACAAAGGGATGCAGTGCAGAAGTGGAAGTAAGCATTCTTGTCTTTATAATAATGAAATTGTTTTATTATTTAATATATTATATATATATAATATAGATATAGAATAATTTAGCACAATTAGTTCGATTTGGGCATTTTGAATTCGAGTTATATTATGCTAATTTTGAGTTTTAACTAGGAATGCTTAGTTACACTGCTTAGTAGTGAGCTCATAGATTTTGGTTACCAAGTAAACACTTTTCACAGTGTAATAACATTTTCAGCAGCTCGGTTACCTAGAAAAACGAGCATGCATTTAAGTTTACTTAGAATTTTAACCTGTCCGGTGGATGTTATGTAAGTTTGTGATGTATATGGTTTGTACATACAAAATTTGGCATATTGGCAAAATCTGTCATGCTTAACAACTAAGCTGTTTTTCTAGCCATTCATGATCACATTGTGTTCGTCGTCAATGCAAGTTTTGTCTTTTAGGATTTGCGGAGCATGTACCACCTCTTTCGTGTCGGCCAACTTCTACGCTGCAAAATCATTGAGGTTGTCGAAATGGAGCAGGGAAAGAAGAAAGTCATACTCACTATCAGTCCACAGGTTGTCAACGAGTATGTTGGCATTAGTGGGCTTAGGAATAGGATGGTGTGTAATATTTTTGGCCTTTGCTGTTTTTAAATTTGTTGTTGTTTGCTTTATGATATCGTGTATACCGAATGAAACAGAACCTAATATCAATAGGTATAACAAGATATGCTACTATTGGTGTATAGCTAGTCCTTTACAAAATATTTATTAAGAGAACTTGTAGTTAGAAATATAAATATCAAATTATTAGAGTCCATTAGTTGCGGGATAAGGGCTGCTGTTTGAAAATGTTTCTGTAGCCATTGATATGTTATAATTTATCAACATTGATATAAAATCGTATTTTGGAAACTGAATACATTTTTTATGCACAGACACTTTCTGCCAGTGTTGTGAGTGTGGAAGACCATGGTTATGTAATGGATATCGGTGTAAAAGGCATCCAAGCATTCCTAAACAGCAATGATGCTAGCAAGTTTATTGAAGAATACAACTCTGGTATGTATTTTCCCTGTATGAGATAAGACCCATATTAATTTCATCCTTTCATGAGCTGAAAATAATTATTTTAAGTTTTCTTGATGCATGATGGCACAACATTAAAACTGCATAGCCATATGTGATCACTCAGCAGTTTTGTATGTGATTTTCACGATTTGTTGACCGCTATTTTTTTAAAGATGTTGCAGATTAACTTCTGGTTACAACAGTAATGTGAACAAATGCATAGTGACTGCACATTAAAGAAAAAGATTTAAATTCTCAGCATCCACCAGCTCACATATTCATGCCACCTGCAAACATGTGAAGCCAGCCTAATTAAGGGAGCCACGTGACCTCGTCTCATTACTTATACTGGCTGCAGGCCCTTCAGTTGGGTGACAGCCACTGCATCATGTCCTTTAACTCAACAGGGTGATGGAACTGGTAGAGAAATAATAGTGATTGCATATCATATTGTTCGGCCAACTCTTTCGAAGCTAGCTGCCTGCATGACGAATGAGTCCTGTGTGGCATAACAGGTCATAGGCTATAATACCAGTTAGCTGCTTCAAAATATATCTCAATCTCTGCTTGCTCAGCTTATATGCCAGAAGGGATCTTCATAGACTTAATAGTATGAACATTAAACAAGCTATTACACGTAATGTGAGCTGATGGAGCCTTGTGTGAATTAATTCCAGACAAAATTTCAAGTACTGTTTTGCATTATCATGAAATGTGTTAACATGTATTTGGTGGAGTAATATCTGTAGGTTGGGCGTAGAAAATGTGGGTATGCTCTGATGGTGTACGTCATCACATGGGGGTGTTGTGTGGTTGCAGGTGAGAGCCTAGCTGTTGGGCAGCACGTTACCTGTGCTCTTTGTATCAATGATTCTAACAAGTCCACAGCGCCATTGCGTAGTGTCAACCTGACTGCCGATCCTGCTGCTGTCTGCAAGGCCATGGTAGGAGACTATTAATGTGTTCATAATTGTTACATATAAGAGAAACAAGAGATTTCCAAAATCCAGAGCTTCACAGGGTAAGGGCAAGGCAGTTTTTTGCAATTGTCAATTCTCATACCTGAGTATTGCAAGTTACAATGCTTGCAATTTAATGCTGTATGAGCTAGTATATATATAGTTCTCTTGTTAGGTGTACTCTTAATATAATATCATAAGTAGTTATAACATCACTAGTCCAAAATATCACAACTTTTGAAGTGAAGTGTCAAGTAGAAGTTATGACATTTTATACCTATGGTAATCATTACTATTTATTATGTTTCTAACAATAGGACCCTAGCTGTCAAATTAGTTGAAATTTGCTATCTGTGTGAGCCAGGAGTGCATAATTAGTGTATTAATGTGCTACTATTCACCTGATATGTTTTAGTTGAACAAGTCTGGAAATGCAAATGTAAAACTTCATGCCATTGTTCCCGGAATGGTTACAGAGACTACAGTTCAAAAGGTATGAACAATTTGTTGTAGTAAGCACCAATATAGAGAACCAGAGAGTTTTAAGTAAGCATAAACCTACGAGCCTGTATTTGGGTATTGTATATAATGCAATTTTGACATAAATATAAATTTTTACAACAACAACAATGTAATAATAATATAAAAATGATGCATAGCTTTCCTCATTAAAGCTTACTCGTGAATGTCTTGATCAATTCAATGAACAGTTGGGTTACTGTATGTGCATAGGTGATGGAAACAGGTGTGATCGTGAAGTTTCTAACATACACTGGATTCGTTCATCACACTCAGCTGAAAGGGGTTTATGAATCACCGTCCAAGTACAGGGAGGAACAGAAGGTACGAGCAAAAGAAAAACAAATGCTACCCATTCATTTCCATTTGGCCCGTCACTGAGTTCATCATCTATAGCACATTAGGATTGATCAGGGGAAGTGGTTGAGATGGTGTTACATCCTGAGAAGTAGTATGCAGCCTGCCGGACATGGCAGCCAGTATTAAACTACCTATGACTGTATTAACAGAACATCAGGAGCGTATGCAGTGGAAGAAATATGGTTCGTGATATGGGTATAGTATGTAGATGTACCTAGAAGTATATGAATATGCTCTGTTATTCGTTGGTTAATTTATGTGTGTCTGAGTAGTGCTAGCCTTCAGTTATCAGAAAGGTGCAAACCTGCCCATCCCCTCACCCAACCATTCGATATAATTCTAAAGGGAATCACTTTCTGAGCTGTTAACTCTCACATGGTGCTAATCACTCCCATTCAGTGTTTCTATTGTCAAGCTTGGGCCCGGCTTTGTGGTGGACTCAGTCTCTGTACTAGACTAATGTCTACTCTATCTATACTGTCTGTGCTGCTACTAAATGAAATTCTAAGCTTCTAGCCAAACGTCTAAAGCCACTGACTTCAGACACATTCCTTTTTACTTGTTCATATTGATGAACACTGTTATTATCAGGCATGTCATGGAGCCCATTGATATTGAGCATTTCATTCAACCTCTAACTTAGCTCAGTGTGTATGAATTTTCTCTTGAGCCTAATTATAACTGAACTCTCCTGCCAGGTTTATGCCTTTATCAATGCCTAAACTGTGCTGATACATTTTCGTTAATGCTCTATTAGATCTGAATTGTACTTCAGATTTTCATTTACGTCATGTGATTTACGCAGGTGAAAGCGTGCGTGCTTCATGTACATCCGACATCTAAGGAAATCGGACTCACCTTCAGTCTGCCGGCCACGAATCCACTGCAGACGATGTCCCCAGCGACCATGTTTCCGGGGCTGGCTGTGGGTGACAAGTTCAGTGAGGCATGCGTCGTGCGTGTCGACAAGGGTCGCGGCGTCTACTTACAGCTTAACGAGAAGACTTATGGCTTTGCTAGCGTGAGTGACTTCACTGACTCGGTGTAATTTCTAGCTGTTCAATCTGTAGGACCTGGCCTGACACGCAAGAGCAAATGCTCCGCGAATTAGTTATTAGCCATGCATTCGAATGCTTCTGTGTTATCTGTAACACGTTTTACAGGTTATCTCTAAATCATGTTTAATGTTGAATTGCTTCACATAGTCTTTATATCACATAGTATGTATTTGAATCCTGTGTTATCTGTTGCATGTTTTATAGAACATTTGTCAGTTATGTCGTGTTGGCATAGGCTTGCTGACTGGCTCTTATTTGTTAACATTTGTTGTAGCTGTCGAATCTGACTGACAAGGCGGGCATCACTGGCATTCCAGATGGATTCTCCATGGGCAGCAGCCACAAGTGTCGCATTATTGACTTTGATCCTATGGACAAAGTGGTTGTTGTGGCATTGAAAAAGTCTGTGTTTGAGCAGCAGTTTCTTAGATACCATGATATTGCAGTTGGATCTGTGGTGAAGGTGAGTCTTGCTCTTCCTAAGCCAACGCCGTTATAGTAGGATTGCCAATTACCATGAATCAATATTGTTATATTTCTCACTATGAATGTTATCGAATTGTTATTGGCCTGATTCCTTTACTAGAGGTCATGGCACTTACTAACGTGGTACCCTAACGTCTATTCATATGTCTTCCTGAACATATTAAATGCACTAACCTGTGAATATTTATTCCTCAGTGCATTGTAAGGGGCTTTCATCAGGCAGGCATGTCTGTTAAGCTGAGCGACAGAATCTTTGGCTTTGTACCGAATCTGCACTCGGCAGATGTTGCTCTCACCAACCCTGCAAGAAAATACAAAAAAGGAAACAAGCTAACATGCAGAGTGAGTTGGCCTCGTTATATTTGATGTCTTTTGTGGTATCAGCAGATATGCCTGTGCATGTGTGAGTGGCAATGTACGTTGGTCCATAAACATATATTTCTCATCATAAAAGCTTGCCAGTGTATAGTTAGTTATCGAATATAATTATACCTGATAAAGTAAGCTAATCAAGTAAGATGATGCTTTTCAGGTGCTCATGTGTGACACAGAAAAAAGTCGTCTGTTGCTTAGCAACAAACAATCCATTGTGACGACGAAACTGCCCGTACTCTGTAACTATGAGGATGCACAGCCGGAGATGCTGGTAGAAGGGGTGATTGTTCAGATCAGCACTAACTATGTGCTTGTGCTGTTCTGTAATGATGTCAAGGTAAACAAGAGCACAGTAAATGATGAAGGTGAAAGTCACTGTGATGTTGAATCAGATAACACAAGAGCAACAACTTGCTGAGGAATGTATTGAGAATCATAGTGACTACTGTCATAATGAAGTTACTGTTTACGATATGGGTAGGGATTGAGGGTGCATTAATATTTCAGGTGAAAGTGTTTCAAGCACTGGTTAACGAGCAGTCATGACAAGTGACACTAATCTGTGCTGATTCTCGTGCTATATGCTTATCATTCCTTAGGGGCTTATTCCCCGTAAAGAGCTCAGTGACGTAGACATCCGCTATCCGGAGAAAGTGTTCTCACTTGGTCAGGTGGTTAAGTGTAGAGTACTGAGCGCTGATGCCCAGCAGAAGCAAATGACTCTATCCATGAAGAACATGACTGATGCTCACCAACAAATAGCACTACCGAAGGATTTTGAAATTGGAAAGGTGATACTATATCAGAACAGTTATTGTCCATAGATGAGACAAAATTTGTTTGCCTGGAAATACTTTCTATGTCACTTGCCGTAATATTACTGCTATGCCTATGCTATTAAAGGCTCATATATATAATAGATATGGTAGTAAGTATTGGCAATGGTGTTGTAGTTATCCACGGCTTTCATTATATCATGATTAATTCAAGGATAGTATCCACACACCTTGTCTTCAACGTTTAGCTTCAAATCTAGTTCAATGCAGCAACTGTGTAAGATGGATTCCGTGGCAGTGCTTGCTTGTGTATGAAGCCTCTGCTTGTGGTATAAGTGAGTTTATAAGAGTATTTTGTGAAATAATTGCGATTTGGTCATTGGTTTGTAGCTGGTCAATGTTAAAGTGGAATCGAAGTCGGATACTGGGCTAAATGTCAAGCTGCTTCCATCTGGATTGCCAGCGTTCCTACCTCTAAACCATCTATCTGATCATCTTGAGAACTGTCAACCTCTTCACACGATGTACTGGCCTGGAGACACTGTCCATGACTGTGTCTACATAGACAGTTCTGGAGCAATTGTATCTTTTCATACAAATGCCATAGTTTAACAAGGCATAATACATATGCCGCATCAATGAAAGACATTCTACAGTAATGTGTTGCAGATAATGCTATAATTTATGTTATTCTATCAGTATATTCGATTCGTATCATTTTTGACACCTGCATACCTGTTTAGTATTAATTACTGTAATGGTTTGTTTGGTTTCTGCTGTGAAAAACAATGAAGTAGCAACTTGTTTTTGTGCAACTGTTTCACGTGCAACTGTTGTCCTTAGCTGTATGCTAGATTGTAAGCAGGAAGAAGTCTTACACGCAAGCAAAGCAGTCTGGTTTGCTTGTGAGCAGCTTCAGTGATATTAAGGTTTGTTGTCATTTATTAGCTAACTTGTAAGTGTGTAAATGTCATGCCTTGAGAGATTAATTATGAAGAAAAGTGATTAATAATAAGTAAAATGCAAGGCAGTAGTGTAACATAGCCAGCCTTCATTAACGTGTGATGTTGTGATATCACTTCTTTCAGCAGTTGTAAATTATAGCTTGAAAATAGCAACATAATCGAAATATGGCAAGCTGCTGCTGTCATCCCGCCAAATATCTGGTTTGGCATACATAGGTCTGTCAAAAGGAAGATAGATTTGAAAGCATCGACACGAAAAAACAGTCGTAGCAGATTGATGTACAAAAATATGTTATGTTTTTAATGTAGCCGGACATGCTAGTTGTTGGCTGCCTAAAGAAAGTCATGGACTATGGAGTATTTGTAGAGCTACCAGGTTCAGTAACAGGCCTAGTGCCCACCAGGGTAAATTCTATTAGAGATAAGCGATTGTTATACATGTGCTGTCCTCCTTTAAATTTGTAATTTTTGTAAAAAAAAAAAATGTAAATTCTGGTTACCAAGAATTGATTTGGGTACAGTGATCCCAGCTTTTCATTAGATATATACATTAATTAATAGGAGACATTAAATTTGATTTTGAATCAATTAGTAGCTGTGTCCACACTCAATTTATTTTATTTTATTTTTAAGTGATGGTCTATTGACATTATTTTGGCAGCTTATGGCTGATAAACATGTCACGAGTCCGGCACTAGTATACAGACTAGGGCAGTCCCTCATCGCTAAGGTTACAGAGGTCAATCAAGAGAAGAAGCGATTTCTGCTGAATTTAAAGTTAAAGGAAGTTCACGACGACAGCACAGCGCCATCTATCAACTTGCTTGAGGATTATCTGCATGAACATGATGCATTGGTAGCTAGTGGTGAAAAGAAGGGCGATGGTACGTAAACACTAGGTAGATGGCACTAACAGTATATAAGAAGAACACTACAGGCAGAGGCCTTCCATGGCGAAGACCACCCAGTTGGAATAGCCCTCATGGCTATGCTAAATTTGCGACAACAGCCATTTTAGAGGGAAAGAAAAACGCTGTTGTACCAACTGAATTACACATCGTAGCAGTCTATTTAGCTCTTGACTGCTCAAATTCGTCAAGGTAATTGCCAGACTTGCATCTCTTTAGAATTCCCAGTTCTCATAAAATGGACCATAATAAAAATGGTGTTTGTTTGCCCTCACCCGACCGATCGACCCGCGAAAAAGGGGCCGACTCAAATTTTTGTTATTGATCTTTCTCATTTTTTTTTTTTTACAAATTTTATCACTGTATATTATATAAATCTGTAGGCAATACATTATATGTACCAAGCAAAACAAACATTCAACGTAAAAGGTATCTCCACACAAGCACACCCGAGCATGTAGACACCATGCTTAATTTGTAAAAAAAAAAAATTTAAAAAGCCTACCTACCTACCCAAACTTTTCAGCTTGGGTCGGGTGAGGTCAAACAAATATTTTTTTAATTGTGCCATTATCAAAATAGAAACGTTGAGGTGTTCGTTGAAAGTGAATCTAGTGGTTTGTGGTTATGAGTCTGTTTGAAAAATTGGCCTGAGTCTGTGCTGGAAGGTCTCTGGTATAATAGGTATAATGCTAATGGTTCACTCAAGGCCAGTGGACTCTGCATATGAATATATATGGTATTAGTCATGCATTGTGGGACGTTTATACATTAGCATCATACAGATAACCCATGCATGAATATCATTAAACTAGCTTTATAATATTGTATACGTATGTGCGAATTTGTAATGATTGAGGTTTGGTTGTCAGTGGTTCAGTCAGTTTTATTGTACATTGTATGTAGAGGTGTATAAAATGTGTAAAGTGACATAATTTGCTTGTATGTAATGTAAATATGTCTTTAAGATTTCACGCAAGCGATTGAGGTTTGTGTTGCTTGTTGCAGGCGTGCTGAAGCAGCTAGCCAAAGTGTCAGTTGGAGATGTAGTGGAGACTGTGGTGCATGAAAAGACATCTCACGGAGTTCTCTGTGCACTTGATTCTGATGTTCGTGGATTTGCTACGAATGCGCACATTCCAGGTTTGTGTTGTTTATCAGGATTCATTATGCTTCATGGAAGCTGCACAGTATTTCTTTGGTGTAGGATGGCAACAGCTTTTAGTTTAGTGTGTTTATTCTTAGTAACTAGGTAGGTAGGTAGCTAGCTAGCTAGGTAAGTAGATAGATATTTAAGTAATTAGGTAAGTAAGTAGCTAGGTAAGTAGATAGGTAGCTAGGTAGGTAAGGTAGCTAGATGAATTGAATGTTGAATTTGGTATCCTAGTACGAGAAGATCAATGTTTCAATGGCGTTTCTGTTTTTAGGGGAACAAAGTTACAACGTGGGAGACCAAGTGGCAGCTCTTGTACTGCATATTGATCTTACAAGCAAATGCTTAGAACTTTCGCTTGATCAGGAGCTGGTTAAACATGTGAACAATTTCAGAGACACCAAGCACAGTAAGGTATGTCTGTTTGATGATTCCTAATCTTATCATGCACATTTGGTTATCATTCAAGAAAGAGTGCGTGTATGCATGTGTGCCTTATCTAATTTAATAGAATTTGTTTGATTTTTACGCAGATAAAGCCAGATCAATTGCTGAGGAGTGAGGTGCTCCTAATCCATGATAACTTTACTCTCGTGGCCCTCAAAGGCCATGGTCTAGGTAGGTTAGCCTACCTGCCTGTCAAGAGACACCTAAATGACATGGGCAAGGTCTCTCCTCACCTGGTTGGTCAGGTGAATAATGTCGTCGTGAAAAGGTACGGGAAGCCCCAGCTACTGTAGAAATCATCACATAATAGAACTATAATAGGTTCTCAATGAAGCATTTTGTGTAGGTGCAAACACATGGTTGTCAGATAATCAGTTAGCAATAATTATGCGCAAAAATATAATATTTGCATTTATCAGAATAACAATGGTTCGCGGAGGTTCGCATCGATTTCGCATTCTCACCTGTACTTGGAAGCGAAGGTACTCCACTTGCGGCCTCCGTTCTTCCGCGAACGCACGCTGTATGGGTGTGGCTGCGAGGGAAAGCTTACTCTCACGCCGTTGCTCTGTGTGTTCAGGCTGACCGGTGGCCGCGTCCTCGCCAGCCTGCAGCTCAGCGAGAAGATGGACGGCCGCGTGCAGACGATACGAGAGCAGGCAAGCGCTCGCGCGAGAGGCGACGACTTCTGGACGCCGACCGTCGCTGTCGGGAAGACGTACAACGCCGAGTAAGCAGACTGACATTGTAGCGAACAAGCTCGCGATCGATTTCTCCGGGCGAGGTGGACGGAAGGATAGGCGTAGAAAATGTGAGACGCCCGCCAGGTGGCGCCTCTAGAGGCTTGCGCGTGCGTTAATTTGCGACGAGTTAGTGTTTTCGGCAGTTTTGGTGCAGAAAGGAAGCGGTCGGCTGACGTTGATTGCTTGCGCGGCTGCGTTTCAGGATCGCGTCATTGCACGACCTTCACGCGTACGTGAAGATCGGATTCAGCGAAGGTCGCATCCACGCGTCGGAGGTCGTGGACGAGCTGGAGGACGGTGGCGCCCCCCTGCGGGGCCTAGAGACAGGCTCTCTCGTCAAGGTGCGGGTCATCGGCAGCCATGAGGTCAAGACCCACGTGCACAGGTGAGTGGCGTGCAAGGCTGTTGTGGTGTGTGTGTGTGTGTGTGTGTGTGTGTGCGTGCGTGCGTGCGTGCATGCATGCGTGCGTGCGTGCGTGCGTGTGCGTGCGTGCCTCTGTGTGTGTGTCTGGGTGTATGTGTGTATGCATGCATCTATGCGTGCATGTGTGTGTGTCTGGGTGTGTGTGCGTATGCATGCATCCATGTGGGCATGTGTGTGTGTGCGTGCATGTGTGCGTGTGTGCACGTGTATATACCTGTGCGTACCTGCACACATGCAGAAATTTGTATGTAAGCATCTGTGCATGCTGATCACAATTTCCTTCTATTTCAGACATCTAGCCATTACTCGGCCCTACAAGACAAAGACTTATGTTGACTGCAGCTTGAAACCCAGCAAAGTTGATGCAGACTCAGATGTACAGCTGGATTACCTCTCTAAATTCAAGCCAGGTCAGAAGGTGCAAGCATTTGTGGAAAGTGTAAGTTGAGTAAAAATGCGTTCAAGTGGTTAGCTAAATCATCAAAGTTTGTTTCAACATTTCAAAACCCTCGTTTCTATTGGCCTTCAGTTTTTAGCTCATCTGACGTAGTCAGATGCAGCTTGTAGAATCGCATGATTGTCCGTCTGTGTGTGCGTGCGTGCGTGCGTGTGTGCGTCAACAGTTGGGCACAAATCTTAACCGCTCGACGTACGGTCACGATATTAGGGACGTCGGGGGGAGGATCGTGAAAAGGACTCAGGATGACAAATTTGGGGGTTAGGGGTCAAAGGTCAAGATGTGTAAACGGACGGGAATATTTCCCCCTTAACTTAAGGTATAAGAGGAAATACGGAATTGCGGCACAAATCTTAACGGCTAGACCTATGCTCTTAATATTTGGTGTATAGTGTGATGGGCAGGAAACCCATCACCAGTGCGAAATTGGAGGTCACAGGTCAAAGGGCAGTGGGAGAAAGGTAAGATATCAGACATTTTCTGAGGACATGGGCTAACGGACAGAGTGAAAAACTTTTTTGTTTCAGCGCTGACCTACCATTTTTATCACTTTATTGAAAGGACCATGAAATGTGCTTTCCACTGACGTGCGAAGAGTAAGTGTCTGATAACCTTTTGACCCTCAAGAGGCGGGTTAAACATGGATTCCTCAACTGCCTCAATGACGTGACAGTGTTGTTATATTCATGGCACATCCATAATCTATAAATCCAATAAGCCTGGATAGCCAAACGGGTACAGCACAGGCGTCACGGCTCAAAGGTCGTTGGATCGAATTCCATCAGATTTTTTATTATTTACCTGTTTTCTGTATTTTTCTATCTTTATCCATTAAACTATTTTTTTCCAATTAATGCAAATATTTACATGATTTATTTACAACAATTTAATAACAACAAATAATTTTTACAACAATTAATTTTTTTAATTTTTTTAATAGGGTTAGGGTTAGGGTCACAATGCACCATAAAACAGGAGTTTCAGGCACGCGATTTGTATCAACCAATGGGATTTGGGAGGTATGCAGAATGCAGAAGGTTGCTGAAATGATGTGTACGCAACTGCGTATCTGCATATCTGCGCCTAACAAAGGTGTCACTACGCACGACTTAAATGTTACGTTTATAACCGTAGCAACAGACCTCAGATGAGCCCAGACGCTCTGCGGCTCTTGTTAATGTTCCTCGTGCATTTTACAAAGGCAATGTGAAATTATGTGAACTTCCAATATTATTATTATTATTAAATCTTTATGTTTATTTTGTAACTAATCTAAATAATAATTTTTTATATATAAAAAACGAAACTGTCATACCCATAATTATCATACTATTTGATCATTAGTATGATTTAATAATTATATATAATTGTTATAGAAGTTACATCAAGTTAACAGCATCAAGTAGCACAAAATATCTACTCGTGTTATTTACACGTATTCTTGGTTAACAATACCTAAATTAATTGCCTATTATTGCAGAAATGTTCTCGTTCAATTGGTGGCAGTTGATATCTAGCTGTGTGTTACACTGTTTATGAGTCAGTTGCAGATGCTAATATCCATGGATCAATTAGTGGCTCTTCACTTGATTGGTTATTAACATCTGCTGATTCTGTGTTTCAGTACAACAACCAGTGTCTGTGGATGCAAGTCAGTCCCAAGATGACAGGCAAGGTGCACCTGCTTAACGTATCTGATGACCCTGCTGTGCTTGAGGATCCCACCCAGCACATGCTACTGGGCACGGGATACAATGCCACTGTTGTGGGCATGGACAAGGGCAAGGTGTCGCTTTCACTCACAGGTATGCCACTCGTGCGCCTAGCTGCTGGAATTATGTCATCATTCTCTCGTTTTTTTGAAGGGTGGATGTTTATCGTGGCATTGCGAACTAGTATGGCTGATGCTGATATCGTTTTTAAGTATATATATGGTGACACAGTGATCAACTGGTATGAAATAGAAGGTGTAAGGTTAGATTGTTCTGCTTGAATATTGTGGACTAATGCTAAGACACACTGGGGTTTCTTTAAGGATACTCTCAACCTTTTGCACGGGTATTGCTCTAATGAAGATTAAACGTTTATTGACGAATGAATCGAATCAATCACTTGTTTTATTTATAGAGGAGATATATCTCTATGCTCAAGGCAAAAAAATTCATGAAATTTCCAGCACCTAATCATGTTACCACAAAAATTTTGAATTTTTATGTAAAAATGGTATTTTGGATATTTCTCAATTACCAGAAAGAGTGAGGAAACAAAAAAGGCCACACATGAGAAACAAAATATACAAAAAAAGAAAACAACAAAATTTCTCTAAAAGTCACATATAAACAAAAAAAAAAAAAAAAACTGCCTAAAATTCAAGTCGCACATTTGAATTTAAAATTTTTGCGAATAAAGAGACATAACTCAGAAAATAAGGCACATTCTTAATAACAATCCCTGACGCACTTTTTTACAGCAATATGTTACCATTAAAACCAGTGTAAAATTAAATTATTCCGAGTTGTAATCACAGAGAAATATCCATTTATACATCGACTACTAAGTCAGAAATTGGAACGGAGAAATCAGCGTTTTTCTGACGTTAGCCGCGGCGCACTACACATGTACGCGGGCAAGCAAAACGCTCTGACAGTTCACATGTACCGTTATATGGAGAAATGAGCATGTACACAGGTGGCACTAGTGTTAGCCATCGAATAAAGTTGAAAATAAAAAATCAGTAAAAATTTTCCTAAAACCTCGAGAGTATCCTTAACATGTAAGGTTTTCCTTTATGATGTGCTGGTGTTGGTTTTTGGCATAACTCTACCGATTATTTCGAGTGAAAATATTTCACAGCTTTTTACTAAACATATACATCTAGTCTACTGTACTATGTGACCCACAGCATATAGAAATGGCATTTTTGACACCTAGAAATGCTAGGCCAGATGCTGTAGACAACAAATTTTTTAAGGGCGTTCTAATGAATGCGAGGTCACCAAAAATATTATTGGCGAACTCTGACATTGTTAACAGGTACGACGAAACTAGTGGAAGGCACCGTCGTGAACGGCATGATTTTAAAGATTCTGCCGGCAGCCTTCATTGTTCAGCTACCATTTTACTGCGTCGGTAAGGTGGCTCCCCCTGATGCGAGTGACATCTACAGCGACACCGTTATGGAAAGCTATCACGTAGGACAGTTCGTCAGATGTTGTGTGCTTCATTACGATGAGACGAAAAAAAACCAAGTCGCTGTCTCACTGAGGGATTCGAGGTATTTCTATTTGACATGGCGAACCAATTAAAACATGCGATTCCTTTCGCCTCGTAGAGTATTTGCCTCTTTGCTCTGACTGAATGATTGAAGCTGTGTACAATAAGTAAATGTAGCTTAAACTAAACGTGATGTGTCGTGGATATTGAAATCGCATTTTACTCTATAATTTGGTTTACAGGGTTTTCAGTGATAGTTACGATGACATAGACAGGGAGGTGACATTTGCTGAGCTGAGGGTGGGCCAGCTTGTAAAGGGTTATGTTACAACGTGCAGCAAAGCTGGTCTATTTGTGAGGTGAGCTATGTGTTATGATTTTATGAAATCCATATACTCCAAGTAGAAAAAAAGACCTAAATTCCTTAGCCACATTTTCTGCCCAAATCAGTGCATGCGTGTCTGTGTGCAGTTGAGTGTGAGTATCATATGAGCCTTTTGTTTCAGCTTGGCTCATAATATCACTGGCAGAGTAAAGTATAGCAATCTGTCTGAGTATATTGTCAAAGGCTCGAGCCATTCACTGCCTATCTGCAAGGTTGTCACTGCCAAGGTCATAGCCGAGGTGGAGAGGTGAGCTGTGTAATATCTCATCTGTTGATGCGCTGGTGCTTAAATGGTCTGCGTATTGTGTAAGAGACAAGGGTAGTTTATTTAACTTGCAGACTTACAATTGTTTGCCATGATTTCCCACGTACGCAAGGTTACATGTGCATAACTAATAACATGATTGATGATGCGTTTTGCACTACCTTTAAACTGCCAAACAATGGTTAATGTAAGCCAAGCATTTCTCATAACCAAGGCGAACAAATGAATAATGTGTGAGCTTGGCAAAAAAGGGTACCTACATATGTTTTGTGTTTCATCTCTCCAGCCGTGCGGGTAGACAGGTGGAGCTGTCATTGTTGCCTAGGGACACGGGACTGCCTGATATCATCCAGGAGGATGAGCGGGGTTTAAGGAGGAGCAAAACAAGCAGTAGTAAGACTGTCAAAAAGAAACGCAGAAAGACGAGTGAAAGTGGCCTGGGTGCAGTTGACGCTGAGGCAGCGATGGGGGAGGCAAATCCCGAACTTGTAGTAAAAAAGAAGAAGAAAATGGAAAAGGAAGTGGAATTGTCAGACAGAATAAAGGTGGGAGGCATAGAGTCTGGTGACGTGTGTCAACCGAAGGGCAAAAAACGAAAACTTATCAACGAAGGTGATTCTAAGGGGGATTCATCAAAGAACAAAGCAACAGTGAAGAACCAGCAGAAGAAGGTCAAGGTTACTACAAGTGCGGAAACTGCAACATCAAGCACTGTGATCACAAAGGTTGGATATTAGGATTTGGTTACATTACCTCCTGGTCATTATTGTTCATTAATTTGTGATTGTCTTTCTCCTCCAAAGATTAACCTTTATAAGACCTTGATAAGACAATCACGTATATAAGCGTCATACGATTAATAAAATTAGCTTGTGATAATTGCTATTTTAATGCACCACCAGGTGTCGCCACAAGAGCTCGAAAATGCACCAAGGCTGCAGGTGCATGGAGGTTTCAGTTGGGACACTACTATCACAACTCTTCCTACCCCGGGGCTTACAACCATCCTCAAGGTACCTTCCAGCAGAGGCAGTGGCAACAGCGCAGTCACTCCCAAAGGATCAGCCCCCGAGTTTCATGATGATAGTAGCAGCAGTGGAAGTGATGATGAGAAAGAAGTATGTCAGAAGCATTTATGCTACTTGTTTGCTGTTCTCCGTTTAGCAGGTCATTCACTGGAAAAAATTCCAAGCCCTGCTTTCTACTAGTTAATTATTCTAGTTATATATTTAAGTTATTCATGAAAAAATAATTAGATATGCCTTCCTTCTGACCTTGCCCCTAAATTGTTAGGTCGAACTACTGCAAACAAGAGTGGTGGCAAACAATTGTAAACGCAAAATTCTAAACACAAACATCTACTGATGTTTATCAAGGAAATGCTTGTGCAGCGATATTAAATTTGTGCCAATTGACTAAAGCATCAAGATATGCCTGGTGGGAGAGTGTTTGTGCTCCCTAGTGCACCTAATGTAGATGCTGGCACATGTAGATATCACTGCAACTGTTTTTCACAGCTTCCAAAAGAAAAGACGAAGAAGCTGACGCAGGTGGAACGTGTTGCCGCGGCGAGGCGGCGAGAGGAGGATGTGTACAACACAGAACGAAGGCTGCTTGACAATGACTGGGAGCCAGAGGCTGGGGACGATTATGAGAAGATGGTGTTGGCATCCCCGAACAGTTCCATCGTATGGCTTCGGTAGGAAACGTTTATCCGCCATAAATTAGCATTCCACTCTGCTCTATTTGTGCTAACGTTGTATACCTCAAGGGGGGGGGGGTCATTGTGAGAAATGTTAGAACTCTTTGGCATTGCTTTGTACCATTATAGCCCATATAAAGTTATATGATTAAGACTGATACTATGAGAAAAATATTCCTTGGATGGCAATGCTGTGAATTGGCTGCTGGTATTGCTGCTCATAGACATTCGCATTGCATTTCAGGTACATGGCATTTTATCTGCAGGCTGCTGAGACTGAACGAGCGCGCTCTATAGCTGAGAGGGCTCTGCAGACGATATCATTTAGGTTGGTGTGCGGCTGTTTACCATGGCAACCTGCCGTTATCGTACCGTGCGTCTCACATCTAACTTCACTCTGACACTGTTGTATGCAGCATTACTGTGGCACCATAACCCCTGTAATGATACTGTGGCAACATCATGTGTAACAATTGTGTGTCACCTTTATATGTGATACTAGAACTGTGGCACTATTGTATGTAACACTACGGTGTCAGCATCATGAGTAACAGTTGTGCGGCAGAGTTGTATGTAATGGAACAGCGTGATTGTGTGGTACCGTTATATGTAACAGTAGTGTGCCACCATAGTACTGTAAAATCCGTTTTTTCGTGGGGTTCTAATTTTCGTGGGTCCACCAATCCACGAATTTATGTAGGCCTACCCAACGAAATATTATGTACATATGTCAATTGCCGGTTCTGGAGTGGATGCCCGCAAACCGACGCCTGCCGTCTGTGCGTGCTAGTAATATATACTATCAACAACCTCGACATCATGCTCGTGTATAATGTTAACGTTAATATGTTGTTTTTGAAAAAAAAAATTCCTTGGAAGGCTTGATCAACGAATTTAAGAACCCACGAACATGTATTTTTTATTGAAACCACGAAAATTGGAACCCACGAACATGTATTTTTTATTGAAACCACGAAAATTGGAACCCACGAAAATAAGTGACTTTACAGTATGTGACTGTAATATAGCACTAGCACTACGTGTAGCTGTACTGTGTTATCTCAGGGAGGAGCAAGAGCGACTGAATGTCTGGACAGCATTGCTGAATCTGGAGAATATGTATGGCACACCAGCATCTCTCAATGCGACATTCTCACGAGCGCTGCAAGCCAATGATGCTCTCAAAGTTTATTTGCAACTCATCAACATCTACTGTCATTCCGACAAGAATGAGGTGAGTGCCACAGTACCACTAGGAGTGTCATTTCCTCGTTCATGAGTTCTGTTAATTTCAATTTCTATGCCCGTGTCTCAGTTCCATTGTGACAGAATAGAATAATTGACATTGCGATATGGATGCAGTTAAACCATTATATCAGGGTTACTGAATGGAAACCTCAAGTTTCCTTTATATACGGGCCCTTTCTGTACAATTGCTTTTGCTGTGTTACTGCTAAGTGTTTATTTGTTTATTTGTTTGTTTGTGTCATTGGTACACACATGTTACAAGAATATGCCATGGGTTGTGACCCGGTGATTTCTTATTGCTTTTAGCAAGCGGAGATCTTATACAACACAGTGGTCAAGAAGTTCGGTCAGACTAAAGACGTCTGGATCAAGTTTGGTACGTTTTACATGAAGAATGGGCAGACAGCATTAGCACAAAAGGTGCTAGACAGAAGCCTGAAGAGCCTGGATAAGCGGCAGCGTGAGTACCAGTAGGGAACAATCTATAAGAGGTTCATAAAATGAGTGTAAGAAAGGCATGAATGGTGAGTGAGGGGGGTAGATGGTGAGGGAAGGAATCCTGTGATGATGAGATTAAGTGTAGGAAAAAGGAGCGTGGGAGAGCAGTGGAATGGGAGAGCAAAGGAGTCGAAGTTGAAAGAGGAGTGGCGAGTGGGAAGCTTAGGTTGTGCATGAGGGAAGAGTGGAGTGTGAAAACTATGTGAAGGTCGAAATTCGAAGTGGAAGATAAATGATGTCTAAACGCTAATGAAGGGCTGAAAATAGAGCGAATCATCAAGTTGTTCAACTTCTCTTGCATCTCCAGTTTATGCATTGTCTAGTTTCTCTATCTCTTTTTTTTGCTTCAGACGTCGATGTGATAGCTAAGTTTGCACAGCTGGAGTTTCAGCATGGAGAGTTGGAGCGAGGAAAGACTATGTTTGAAAGCATGCTGGGCACCTATCCCAGACGCACCGATCTCTGGTCAGTCTACATTGACATGATGATCAAAGCAGGCCAACACGACAGTGTCAGGTAAGGTACAACCCAGCCACTAACTGCCATTTCTAGCCCAGAATTAATGGAATGGGCTGGTCGTCTTTGTCTTGCAGTGTCAGCTTAAGATAAAAATCGTCTTGATTGCTCGTGCTGTGCCTCCAGGCAATGAACGTTTCTGCAGTGAACTGACTAATAGTCTGCTGTTTTGCGTGGAACTATGCTTAAAAACAATAGTTGTTTGCAGAATTTTTATTATTAATGCACGATCGTAGATGCTGTCTAGTGGCAGCACATGCCTTTTATAATTTCGTAGAGTTGCGGCCTATTGTAAAACGCAAATAGTCTACGTTAGGTTTGGGCGTGCATAGTGGGACGTATATTCATCAAAGTCAGGCACAATTGCTCAAGGGTGAATAGAAGATTCATGGCAGATAATGGTTTGTCTTGCAAGCAATGTCTTACCACCCGCCTGCACTGTCTGTGGTCCCTAATGGGGTTGATAACACTGTATACAGGGTTCGTAGCGGGTCTTCCTAAGTCTTATAAGTACTTATTTTGCCAAAAATAAAATAAGGGCCCTTATTAGTACTTATTTTTAGTGAAATCTTAGAAAAGTACTTAATAGTCCTTATTTTTAGCCAAAGGACTATTTTTCAACATTGTTTTATAAACTGTTCTCGACTTAGAATAAGAATTGTTGTATATATAATACGGAATAATTAAATCTGCTGTGCAATTGTGTATATAAATATTATTAGTGTACTTTAATAGTCGGTGATCTATCAGAAATCGCGTAAAAAAGTCTTATTTTGGCCTCCAGAAAGGGTCTTATAAGTCCTTATTTCAACATGTGTCTTACTACTATGAACCCTGGTATACTAAGCAGTACTACGACGATTTGTAACGTGCAGGGACCAGTAGTAAATTGGCAAATTGACCAATTGATGCAAAAAAACACATAACATTTGTAAAACGTGTATTCCTGATTACTTTCCGGTAGTTCCTGTAGACCCTGTAAACAGGCTGAACCGGAATGTTCACTCGGCACCTAACTTCGGGAGTTATTTCGCAAATAATTTTCCGCAATTGTTGCTAGTAAAGCTGACAAAGTACTTTGAACTAATGACGATCTCCGTCATACCTGTAATTAGCAGAACTCATTAAATGCCAGTTAATTACTAGTTTGAGTTGCCAAGAATTTACAACTTGGTGGTGTCATCTACACGCTATTCTACAAAGCAATAGTTGTTTTGAGTGACGGAATTAATTGATGTGGTTTCGGTTAATGCGTCTCCCAGTAAAACTAGTGTTTTTCATGTAAAAATGATTGTACACACTATTCTTGATGGTGCATTAAAACAAATACGGTACGAAAGTACCGATTATTCTCTTTTTTTAATGATATTCGCGTCTACAAATTCCCGTATTGGACTTCTCTTAGAAAGGCAATCACATCTCATCCAATCAGCGAGCATATGACCAAGTTCTACTTGTCGAAAATCAGTGCTAAAATGCTTCTGACGGTACAGTTCTCGTATCGTAATACTAGTACTAGGTTTTGTCGTAGTCACAAGTTTAGCCGCAACCAAACGCTCGTTACGACAGCGGCCCCCTGGGTGTTTGTGACAAATTCAGGAGTCTATCAATGAATAGACTTTTGACAAATTCAACAAGACAACAAATGAATTGGCTTTGTTTCTTTCCCTGCCATTAATGACTTTTGTTCGCTTGCAGGCAACTCTTTGACAGAGTCATCCACATGAAGCTGTCAGCAAGAAAGATGAAGTTCTTCTTCAAGAAATACCTGGAGTTCGAGGAGAGACACGGCATGGCAGACGGCGTGAGTCGCGTGCGAGAGCTGGCTCTAGACTATGTTGAATCGCAGGACGTGGAGGATGACTAGAGACGCGCGTTGAGGTGGCGCGGCAGTACAGACGACGACGGCAGACTGTGCACTGAATATCATGTCTGACATTAATACCGGCACGTGCGGTGGTCGTCACTGTAGCGCAGGAAGGGGCGAAGTGAACGTCCAAATTGGAATTCGCCTATCAAACAATTATGTATATAATAATACGTGGTGCTGTCCAGCCTCTCTATCATTTTATTGTGCAGTGATAGAATTTAAGCTGAATGTTTCATAGAATATATAACTGAAACGTTATGTATAGCAGAATATAAAACTAGCCAGTAGATGAGCATTCATCAGTGATGTGACGACATGAATTTTGGAAATAGTAGTCAAAAGGCTTACGTCTATTACTAGCGAGGGAGCTGTTGGACTAATTTTTAATCACGATTTGTATACTGCTAGTAAAAAAAATATAACGGTTTTAGAAGAAATTTGCATTGGAGTAATTTTGAATTGAGAAATAAACATTGGCAGATTAACATTAAATCAGGAGTGAATAAAATAAAGACTTTGTTTTTTCACTCTTTATTCAATGTATAACCTGCAGATTAGTATGCATCATCATTATTATCCTCACGTGCCGTCTTCTATGCGGATATTGGCCATCAAGATTCTTCATCAAATCCAATTTACAGCTTTTCGCTGCATCTCACCCCAGTTCTTCACTACTCTATGGATTGACATCATCACCACAGGTTCTTCGGGTCTGTTTCTGGTAATAATCATATTTTCATTACTGAGGCACAGTCATACATGTCAACCCCTTCGGATGCCCACTTGTATAACCTTCTGGAAAAATCCATAAAGTCTATAAGAAATCCTTAGGATCTACAAATCACAACAAAATGAGTTTAATATTAACACTTTATTCACCGAGTCAACTCTGCACGTGTTCATGCGTTATTTGATCGTTCTCTAAACAAAACAGCACGCAATAAATTTTGAGCCAAGTTTGTTTATAATCCGTATGATTTTAGGTGTACACCCGTAAGCAATTTAAATGGGTGAAAATCCGTAAAACTTACGGACATTCCGTATAGGTTGACATGTATGCACAGTTAACAAATGAACTTCACCCGGTAAGCGAGTATAGCTTTGCCTGAGCGAATACCTAAACATACCTATGTGACATTTCCTATGCTACACAGGGAGGTAGAATGGCAAAAAACAAGTGTCATTGAAGCACCTAGCACACCATCGACTCGGCTAATGAACGCGTATAGAACCTGTATGAACGCCGTGTTTTATCAGCGCTAAAGGAATGAGGAACATGACTATTCTATGGCCATTGACCATCACTTTCATTGCCGTCTCGTCCGTTGATGAAGTGCGGGCTGTCTGGACGTTGGCAGATTACAGAGCGTTCACCGGTGCGTAATCGGTGTGCTGCGACAGTGAGCTATGTGCTCGCGTATTAGTGGAGCAGTGACACGTGCACGCGGCCGTTAACTCCACGCAGCTACGCATGCGTGTGGCAAAGGCGTCGCGTCTCGCCTAGAACAATGCAAACGCGTTTCATTTCAAACCGGCGCGTGTGCGGCAATTTGTTTTCAGCTTCTGAACAGAAACGTCAAATCTGTTAAAACTTAACGGTTTCCTGGTTTCGACGAATTACTTCAGAATAATTGAAATGCGCACGTCCGCCGAGACGGCTCTCTGGTAGACCTTGTAAAGCCGTAGTGTGACATAGTATGCACAGTCGCCGTAATTGGCTTGTTCATTTGCTTCACAGCGTCTGTGCAGGCGTTAGCTTATACGCGCATCGCCAATATATAGCTTCCGACAGACAATATATAGGGTAATTGGACGTTCGAGCCTCTGCTGCTGTATCTGTGCCGTGAAATCTTACCCTTGACATTCATTGCGGTTTGTCGTATATGCGACTATAATTTATACTCTGTAACTCGGTGGGTTGTACCGCTCGCTATTCGCGGCTCTCTCCGCGATTGACGTAGGAATGCATGACTAGCGGCTAACAAAAGAGATAAAGGGAGAGAGAGATTTCTTCTGTGAAGGGTGGGTGGTCCGATGCTCATACAATAGCTCTCATAAAATAATAATAAAAAAAAACTAATAGGATATAAGCCCCAAGGTTATATAACCTATTATTAAACCTATTTAAATTATATATTATACGAAGACGAATATAACTCACCGATACATTTGCTCACGTTTTATGATTTAGCCTTGTAAATTATTCATAGCGCCTTACAATTTTTCGGTAGGCCGTATAATTAATTGTATAGAGGATTCCCCTGCTGAATAAATTCCGAGCACGGACAGTCCTTTTTTCCCCCTTTCCCTCTTCCAAATTACGTATCACCTACTACTGGCTGACACCAATACTTTGGCCAATTAACCTTGTAGCATAGCAGGTCATCCTCTTGCGGTAGCAGTATATGCCCCCGGAACTACTAGATTAACACATTGATCCAAATTTGATTATGCGAATTCTCACGTGTACTGGCCAATAACCATATATCTCCTAATCCGTGCCAGCGATTGTGTAGTATTGCCTGGTGTTGTCACGATAATTAATTATTGCTAGATCGTTGTTTAATCGTGGAATAATTTTACGGTGACACATGATTAACGTCTAGCGCCCGCTCGTGCGTCAAGGCCACTTACTCGCGTGCTATTGTTTGATTACTGTTTACTTTTGGATTGGTGATGTAGTGTCCAGGGACCCGTTGTCGGAAACAAGGCTATACTACGCGTTGGTCAACAATAGTCGTAAACGTTGCTGACCAACGAATGTGTGTGTGTGCTGTGTGTGTGTGCGTGCGTGCGTGCGTGGTGTTGTGCTGGTGGTTTTGCGTGTGTGATGTCGTGTGTGCGCGCGCGCGCTGGTGTGGTGTGCGCGGCTGGCACTGTAATAAGCTTGTTCTGTCGGCCTCCGCGGCCTGTGCGAGATAAAATCCTTCGCAAATAGGAATTCAATCGGTCGACCTCCTACTAGCCCTTGCTGGAATCCGCATCTAGGCAGATATACGATGTCTGTGTATTATCTACTCTTGGTCTGTGTGTTACTGCTATAAGCAAACGCTGCAAGGAATTCCGTAACAAACACTTGAGCCAGCACCGCCACGGCGCCACCGCGCCCGTCCGCCCACAACTGTGGCCGTAAGCGCCACGTAATAATAATAGCAAGCGGAAATTAAGGCGCGTTCGTAGATCCGCTATCAGATTCGTGATTGAACAGCCGTGCTGCGACCTTGACCCCGCTTTACGTGACCTCGCCCCGCCCGCACGATGGGGAGAATGCCGATGCGTCTGTCAACACTTTCATTATTTTATTTACTTGCGGATCTTTACGCCCGCAGGCTAAGTGCAAAAGACCGAGCGCCATTCTTCTCCGTCTTCCGGTCCTGATATATATTCTGCTTGAAATGACCCTCGATCGAAGCAAGAGTCTGAGAGGATTCACGCTTTTACCAACTAACCTTTCCACTCCCCCAACTACCACGAATACAGAGAATGTCGCAGTACATCCTGTTCGTTATTTCTCTTACTACATCTGCGTACTGGTTTAAATGCCAGTGTCAAGGAAGCAATAGTATTTCATGGATATTCTTACCATGCTGTTCATCATGCAAAGGTGGATGTGTAAACACGGCGCGTAGTGCCCTGTTTGTATTAGCGTGCAACAGTATTTCAGTAGTTGTCATAGGTAAATGCAAATACGCAAATTTTACATTTTATTATCACATTTTTATGTGAGTAATAAAACAGGTATTTGTAGTTCCATTACATACATACATGCATGCATGCATGCAAGCATACACTCGTAGTATATGTATATATATAACAGGTATATTTCAACAGTTCAGTGCCATTGCATGCGTGTAATTCTGCGGTTTTCCTCAATTAGTATGCACAAGGAGCAGGTATTTCGTTAGTTCCGTGTATGGGCGTAGACAAGTCGTGTTCTTTATCATATGCAGTTGAGTCCGGTGCCAAACACATACAAATAGGTAATTACTTCACGTCGCACCGGGGACCCGTCTAGCTACAGCGGGGACTACATTACGTTGCTCAGAGCTCGGTGCGTACGCGTCCGCTGCGGCACGTGATCGGTAGCGGAGATCTGCCCGCGGCCGCTTGTGCCGTCGCTATTTCTAGTTCAAGTTACAAACGCGTTTAGGGCCGGGGCCAGCCGAGGCCGCCACGGTTCGCCGCTTTCCGAGTTTAAAAACCCGTAAGATCTGCGCGACTTCTACCAGAAGTTGTAAGGACTAGAGCGCGAGTGGGGACCTGCGTAGACGGCATTCGCTATACAGTCACCCCCGGTCGTGGTCTTGTCGCGGGTTTGACGAGGTGGCAGTGACAGAACAACAACCTTCTGCGCGCGTCGTCGACGTCGCCTGCGATCCAGCCGTACTATAACAACTCGATCTCGTGCGATAACATCAACGTGCGCTATGATATTATCGTCGAACGTGTGATATAGCGTCGCCGGTGGAGCGGAGTGTACGTGTGTCGGTGCGAGCGTTTGTGCGTGCGTGCGCGCGTGTCTGCGTGCGTGCGTGAGTGTGCTACACTACGCGCGGCTGAGTCTATCTACGGGCCAGCATGCTGACGGCGAGCATCTAAACTCGCAGCGTATGTACACAATGCCGCCGGCGTGACTCTCTCATTCCTCGCCTGCCGTAACACGATCGCAGCGACCTGTTGAATTTTGACATTCGTGAGTTGGCTGAGAGAGAAAGAACGAGAGAGAGAGCGCGCGCGCGAGCGAGCGAGAGAGAGAGAGAGAGAGAAAGAGAGCGAGAGAGCGAGGAAAAGAGAGAGAGAGAGAGAGAAAGAGATTGACGCCTCAGGGCACCGATTGCTCACGTATCTAGCTGGCTGGCAGAAGTGGAACGTCTCCTCTCGTTACAATGCCGACGCTCGGCTATTATAATTCGCGCGTATAGCAGCCATCGTATCGCCCGCGGCGCACGCACGCTGTCTCGCTCGCAGACACGCCACGTTGCGCATTTACCCATAAACGCGAGAGGAGATGGAGGGAGATGCTCGCTTTAGACCAGTAGACAGAGGACGCAGACACAGACGAGCGGGCGCGCCGGCGACGAAGCTCTCGTGGTGCGCGTCACCGTTCCCCGCAGACGCCGCTTGGTACTACATGGACGACGGACCACCGCCGGCATACAACTACGGCGACGGCAACCGCGCGACGGCTCACGGCTACGCGTCCGGCGACCGGCACGTGCACGGCGACGGCAGAATGCACGCGACGGCCGACGGCAGTCCGGCGATCGTTCTGCGCAAGCTGCTGCTGCTGCTCGACTACCAGCAGTTCGACGACACGGCGCGTATTCTGCACACGATGCCGGAGCTAACGTTGAAGGCGGTCGTCACCGACCTGCCCGTCGACATGCTCGTGCGGGGCATCCCGCGCACGTTGCCGACGCTAGACGCTCTCTACACGCGCGTCTTCTTCAGCGCCGGCGTGCAGCGCTTCCCCTTCAACCTACTGAAGCCGGAAGCCATCGTCATGCAGCTGATACGGCTATTCGCGCACTACGAGGAGGCGAGCGTAATGGCGATCGGCTGGAGTCACGCAGACGTGTCGGCGTGCAAGAGCATCCTGCAGGTGATCGTGCAGGTCGACCCGAAGCTGAAGCGCATCCTCTTCAAGCGCAAGCGGGCGCTCGATCGCGCGCTCGAGGGACTCGGCATACATGGCATGGTACTGACGGCTGACCACACGAAGCTGATGAATCTGCACGACGCACTGAAGCTCGAATTTCAGGGCGCCATCAAAAACTATAAGCAGGTGCTGGGCAAGCTCGACGACTACAACCTCACGCACGCCACCCCGCGGCCGAAGTGCATCAGCAACGGGCCGCCGCCGACGAAGTCCAGCCACCAGCGGCTGATGAGTCTCACGCAGGGAGAGATACACGAGCGCCTGCGCAAGAACCGCGAGGTGTGGGGCAGCGTCGAGCCGGTGCTGCACAGCAACCGCCTGCCGACGCTGCTATCGCACCTCAACGAACGCATCGAAGCCGACAAGGAAGCCCTGCTGCAGTTCTCGCAGCTGCGCAAGGATGCCGGCGGCAGCAGCGGTGGCGGCAGCAGCGTCATCGCGCCCATCCTCATGCAGTACGCGCGCGGCTTCGACCGCGTGTTGCTGATGCTGCAGGAGGTCTGCGACGACAGCGTCTCCGGTTACCATAGCGACTCGGACTCGGTCATCATGCCGCCATCCCGAACTACGACGCGCAGCAAGCAGAGTAAGTACATGATTATCGCTCCGTTCCGCACTCCTCCTGTTTGCTCGCGTGCAACTATTTCGAGTGGCATTACAAGCATGTGGCTATATACGATAATTGTACGTGTATGTGTGTGTGTGCGTGCATGCGTGCGTGCGTGTGTATGTGTGTATGTGTGTATGTGTGTATGTGTGTGTGTGTGTGTGTGTGTGTGTGTGTGT